AATGGATTTGTCAGTTAAAAATAGGAGACGAGAGTTATTAAATGGAGAGTTAGAGGTATTGAGAAGATGGAGGGAATATTTTGAGGAATTGTTAAATGTTGATGAAGATAGGGAAGCTGTGATTTCGTGTATAGGGCAAGAAGGAATAACATCTTGTAGGAGTGAGGAAGAGCCAGTTGTGAGTGTGGGGGAAGTTCGTGAGGCAGTAGGTAAAATGAAAGGGGGTAAGGCAGCCGGGATTGATGGGATAAAGATAGAAATGTTAAAAGCAGGTGGGGATATAGTTTTGGAGTGGTTGGTGCAATTATTTAATAAATGTATGGAAGAGGGTAAGGTACCTAGGGATTGGCAGAGAGCATGCATAGTTCCTTTGTATAAAGGCAAAGGGGATAAAAGAGAGTGCAAAAATTATAGGGGGATAAGTCTGTTGAGTGTACCTGGTAAAGTGTATGGTAGAGTTATAATTGAAAGAATTAAGAGTAAGACGGAGAATAGGATAGCAGATGAACAAGGAGGCTTTAGGAAAGGTAGGGGTGTGTGGACCAGGTGTTTACAGTGAAACATATAAGTGAACAGTATTTAGATAAGGCTAAAGAGGTCTTTGTGGCATTTATGGATTTGGAAAAGGCATATGACAGGGTGGATAGGGGGCAATGTGGCAGATGTTGCAAGTGTATGGTGTAGGAGGTAGGTTACTGAAAGCAGTGAAGAGTTTTTACGAGGATAGTGAGGCTCAAGTTAGAGTATGTAGGAAAGAGGGAAATTTTTTCCCAGTAAAGTAGGCCTTAGACAAGGATGTGTGATGTCACCGTGGTTGTTTAATATATTTATAGATGGGGTTGTAAGAGAAGTAAATGCGAGGGTCTTGGCAAGAGGCGTGGAGTTAAAAGATAAAGAATCACACACAAAGTGGGAGTTGTCACAGCTGCTCTTTGCTGATGACACTGTGCTCTTGGAGATTCTGAAGAGAAGTTGCAGAGATTGGTGGATGAATTTGGTAGGGTGTGCAAAAGAAGAAAATTAAAGGTGAATACAGGAAAGAGTAAGGTTATGAGGATAACAAAAAGATTAGGTGATGAAAGATTGAATATCAGATTGGAGGGAGAGAGTATGGAGGAGGTTGAACGTATTCAGATATTTGGGAGTGGACGTGTCAGCGGATGGGTCTATGAAAGATGAGGTGAATCATAGAATTGATGAGGGAAAAAGAGTGAGTGGTGCACTTAGGAGTCTGTGGAGACAAAGAACTTTGTCCTTGGAGGCAAAGAGGGAATGTATGAGAGTATAGTTTTACCACGCTCTTATATGGTTGTGAAGCGTGGGTGATGAATGTTGCAGCGAGGAGAAGGCTGGAGGCAGTGGAGATGGCATGTCTGAGGGCAATGTGTGGTGTGAATATAATGCAGAGAATTCGTAGTTTGGAAGTTAGGAGGAGGTGCGGGATTACCAAAACTGTTGTCCAGAGGGCTGAGGAAGGGTTGTTGAGGTGGTTCGGACATGTAGAGAGAATGGAGCGAAACAGAATGACTTCAAGAGTGTATCAGTCTGTAGTGGAAGGAAGGCGGGGTAGGGGTCGGCCTAGGAAAGGTTGGAGGGAGGGGGTAAAGGGGGTTTTGTGTGCGAGGGGCTTGGACTTCCAGCAGGCATGCATGAGCGTGTTTGATAGGAGTGAAGGGAGACAAATGGTTTTTAATACTTGACGTGCTGTTGGAGTGTGAGCAAAGTAACATTTATGAAGGGATTCAGGGAAACCGGCAGGCCGGACTTGAGTCCTGGAGATGGGAAGTACAGTGCCTGCACTCTGAAGGAGGGGTGTTAATGTTGCAGTTTAAAAACTGTAGTGTAAAGCACCCTTCTGGCAAGACAGTGATGGAGTGAATGATGGTGAAAGTTTTTCTTTTTCGGGCCACCCTGCCTTGGTGGGAATCGGCCAGTGTGATAATAAAATAAAAAATAAACATATATATACATATATATATATATATATATATATATATATATATATATATATATATATATATATATATATATATATATATTATATATAAATATATAACATATATATATATATATATATATATATATAAATATATAACATATATATATATATATAAATATATAACATATATATATATATATATATATATATATATATATATATATATATATATATATATATTATATATATATATATAAATATATAACATATATATATATATATATATATATATATATATATATATATATATACGTATATATATATATATATATATATAATATACCGCTTTGTAAAGATGACGTAAGGGCAGTTCTGCCACCTAATTGGCTGCTCGAAGTAACGAAATGTTAACGTTACTGTGTCGTAAGATCAAGCTTGCTTGAAGTTGGTTGAAATTATCGTTCCAAAGCTTCTACCGGCCTCGCTGAAGTACCAATGAAGATTCCATAGGCATGATGGCTTTGCTGAAGTTTGTTTACCGGATGACTCTAAACCACGTGCCTGAAGGAAACGAGAAAAGTATTTATGAGAGGGTTCTTGCAGTCTTGCCTGTCGCAATCTTGTTAAAGGTCTAAGTGAATTAACTCACTTTATTGTCGTAGTAAGAGGTGGAAGATATGAGTGGATCTGTTATCACTAACTACTGGTATGCTAGCCAGATCATTACTGTGAAGATATAAATATTATTTTTTATGGTGATAACACTGTAGCTGCCAAGAAGCTATCAACATCACTACTGTGATGAGGATCATAACATCACTACTGTGATGAGAGCATCACTATTGTGGTGATAACAGAACTACTGTGGTGATAAAACGCCACTACTTCTCTACTGTGATAGCAGCATAACTACTCTAATAGCATCATCACTACTATGATAATAGCAACATCACAACTGTGATGTTAGCAACATCACCACTGTGATGATAGCAACATCATCACTGTGATGATAGCAACATCATCACTGTGATGATAGCAACATCACTGTGATGATACTAACACCACTGTGATGATAGCAACAACACTGTGATGATAGCAACACTACTGTGATGATAGCAACAACACTGTGATGATAGCAACACCACTGTGATGATAGCAACAACACTGTGATGATAGCAACACCACTGTGATGATAGCAACAACACTGTGATGATAGCAACACCACTGTGATGATAGCAACACCACTGTGATGATAGCAACACCACTGTGATGATAGCAACACCACTGTGATGATAGCAACACCACTGTGATGATAGCAACACCACTGTGATGATAGCAGCTTCATAACTCTGGTAGCAACAAGGACAACAACATTGCCTCTTACATTCCCACTTATATTATTTCTGCAAGTCCTCACATCAGGCCCCAGACCCATTACTGATATTTGTTTAGGTTTATAGACTGGACGAAGGACACCTAGACTGTATTTCACTTGAATACTGACTTCAAGAATACACAATTCCTAAAAGAGAACATAAGAAAGAAGGAGCACTGCAACAGGCATTCTGGCCCATGCTAGGTAGGTCAAAGTCACACCCTCTCAAGGAGTACTGCAGCAGGCCTACTGGCCCAAGCTGGTCAGGTCCAACTCACACCCACCCACACCCACTCATGTATTTGCCTAACCTAGTTTTAAAACTACAGATATACACCACTCACTGTATATACACTAGCATGTATACATTTTGGTGTACACATCTCAGTGCATATAAACCTCTTGGGAATGTATACCTCTTGTTTACTAAGTGCGGATTTGCTGGGCGTCCATAAATAAATTATTCTGTACGCTCTCACACCAGTCTCAAGCCACTACAGAAATAGATTCATTTAAGCATATTAGCGAGGCCTTCAGTGTTTCGTGTCTGGGTAGATTTCGACCACCATTATCTGCACTGATGGTGGTAGTAAGCTGCTAAAAGAGGATTATCTAGGTAGACATAACATTAGTTTGACATTTATCCTGACGGAATTTGCTGGCGTCGAGTTGCGACATAAAGACAAATCATATTTGTCAGTATTTCTGGCTCTCCGGTTTATTTTTCTTTCTAATTATGTTCCCGTTTCCAATTATTCTTTCTGTCTGTCCCTCTGTTTAGGTCTCTGCCTATCTCTTCTTTATTACATTGATTCCATGCGCCACACATATTAATATATCGTCAGACGATATGGCGAGCCTGGTGGGCCCTGGAGACGATCAACAAATTATACAAGGTTCGAAAATATGTGGGAATTTATCCCTTGTCTTTCAGCAAGTATCTTCACTATGAGATTATTCTCTACTGATAAATAAGACACATATGCAGCACCTGGGTATTTTTATTGTTTAAACTTTACGCTAATAAACACGCCCAAGTATCACACTTCTGACTTATTCATCGACTTGTCGATATGATATTCCATTAGTAACGTGAATCTCGGTAGACTGAGGATTGAATGGTCATGTGTATCTCTATGCAACTCTATTCGAATTACTTAGTCAACTGGTGTAGTTGTCAGGGTGCCTGTCCACACCTCAGTGGATGATGTTGTTGTTTAATTGTTTTTGTTTTAGTTTAATTGTTTAGAGTTTTGTAAACAGTCTGTGAAATTATCTTCCCTTTTATTCCGTCCTGTGCTTGTGTGAATGTTTTTACTCAAGCAATTTTTTTTTTTTGGTTGAAAGAAGTTAAAGTATATATGTGGGAGGGACTTTTGTTCTGGAATGTTGGACGACCTTTAGGCTCCAAGCTGTGAATTTTTGACACTTAAGTTCTCTCTCTCTCTCTCTCTCTCTCTCTCTTTTTTTTTTTTTTTTTTTTTTTTTTTTTTTTTTTTTTTTTTTTTTTGGCAAGCTAAGAGCTGTTACCTACATCAGCTCATTTGAAAGCATTTTTATTGTTATGAGACATACAAGTAGGGAACAGGATGAAGTTGGAGCCATCTGTGGGCCAGCGTTTTCATTTGACCAACTGACTTTATTTCGTTGACATCATTATGCTGTACGAATGTGTTCCATACTCGAGTCATCCTGGGTATGTATGATCTCAGATGGAGTGATGTTCTGGAGAAGGGTACAGCCAGAGTGAAGTTGCTGCTTTCTGCCCGTCTTGTGGCCTAAAAGCTTGTTTCACGCTGTCCTCGAAGTGGATCCAGGTGTGGTATTTTGACAATATTGGCCTTGTACATAACAGTAAGGCCACCCACATCCCTCCTATGTTGAAGGCTCTGCTGAAATGACAGATCTATCCCGGATGGTCCAGGCGAGAGATGAGAGTCCCTTGCTCTGTTCTCTACTCTGTCAAGCAGTCGCAGATGAGAGGGGGGGGGCAGGCCAACCAAGAAAGTGGAGCATACTCAAGGTGTGAGCGTACTTGTGCCTCGTACGGGATCTTGCAACCCCTACTGTCAAGCAGATGCGAGATACGGCGAAGTGCTGTAAGTTTCCTGGCTGCCTTGTTTGCAAGATTTACAACATGGTTCTTCATGGTTAGTTTGGAGTCAAATTTCACCCCAAGGATATAACTTCTTCCAGGTGCCAACACCCTCCCATTCATCCTGACTACTGCACCAGCATTACCATCATGGTGCCTAGAGACGATCATCATTTGCGTTTTCTCAGGTGCAAATGTTACTTGCCATCTATTTCTCCAAGCTGATATAGCTCTCAACTGGTGATTGATGTAGCTTAGAGCAGCTGGCATTCTTCTCTTGGATAAGTGAATGTCAGTGTACAGTCGTCTGCATATGCATGTGATTCTGGGATGAGATGAAGAAGGTCGTTGAAGTAGACATTCCATAACAATGGACCCAGCACGCTTCCTTGTGGAACACTTGCCCCAATAGGATGTCTGCTGATTCCGTTCCATTGAGAACTACACTTAGAGATCTACCATGAAGGTAATCACTGAGGAGACATAGCGTAGAGCCTGCAATTCCCAGTGCTTGAAGTTTTGCTAAGAGGCCCTAGTGCCACACCCGGTCGAAAGAGCCAGCAATGTCCAGTGCTACCACACAGCTGACTTTGGATTCATCCAGTGACTGGTGCCACTTAGTGGAGAGGTTTAAACAACAGTTCAGCAGCAGAGTAACCTTTCCTGAAGCCATATTGATGATCACAAAGTAGTGAGTGGTAGTCAAAAAACTGTCATTTGTCTTGAGATTATCGTCTCAAGGATCTTACCAGTGATTGACAGGAGTGACTCTGGTCTGTAGTTGCTGATTTCTGCTCTTCTCTTCTTTTTGTGAACAGGGACTACATTTGCCTCTTTCCATAGAGAGGGCCATTTACACTGTACTAGGCAGTGCTGAAAGATGCGAGTTAGAGGTGCTGCTAGCTGGTCTGCACATCTTCTCAACAATATTGGGCTCAACTTGTCTGGGCCCACAGCCTTTTCTTGGTCAAGCGATTTAAGAAGGAAATGCACCTCCTCCTGCCTTATTGTCACCACTGATAGTTTTGACACAGTTCTTGCAGCTAGCCAAGGAGGGTCCCTTGCTGGATCAGGAACTTGCATTTTGGTAGCAAAGTGTTCAGCAAAGAGGTCCGCCTTCTCTTGACTACTAGTAGAGGTGGTCCCATCATTCCGATTTAGAGGTGGAATGAGTTCATCAGGCAGATAACCTTGTCTGTCCTTGACCAGGGACCACCAGGTTTTGGAGCCTACCCTACCTGATTCTAGCTTTCTTTTAGTGTCCACCTCCCATTTAGCAATGGCCCACTTTTGAACGTCACCCATATGCCTACAGGCTTGCGTGTGCAAGTTCCTGTTATAGGTGGTAGGATGTCTCTTATACCTTCGCCATGCTTTGTACTTAGCAGTAGCAGCCTCTCTACAACGAAAGCCAAACCAAGGCTGATCTGTAGGCTTTGTCACATATTGCCGGTGAGGAATGTGTTCTTGTTGTAGATTAAGGATGTGTCCAGTAAAGGCTTTCACTTGGTTGTCAACATCCCCTTGGAGAAGAGCATTCCAATCGGTGGTGGCGAGCTCAGAGCGAAGGGCTGGCCAATTACCTCTTTCCCATAGGCAGGTTGTGCGTGTGGACTCCTCACCTCGTTCTGTTGGGATCTTAAGTGTCGTAAAAACAGCCTTGTGGTCAGACGATCCAACATAGCCGAGGGGTTGATAGGTGACTATGCCTTCTGCCAGATCACTCACTACTGGGTCAAGGGAGGAGCCAGAGATGCGAGTAGGGAAATCAACAAAGTTTCTCATGTCAAACACTGCAAGAAGGTCATCAAAGTCCCTCTGTATAAGGTGCTGGTTGAGGTCACCAACAATTATAATATGTTGACAATTGTGTTGTAGCAGAAGGGAGTCAATATTTTCCATTAGGAAGTTGATGGGGTCTGCATGTTGCCACTGAGGTCTGTCTCTGTCTCTGTCTGTCTCTCTCTCTCTCTCTCTCTCTCTCTCCCCTCTCTCTCTCCTCTCTCTCTCTCTCTCTTTCTCTCTCTCTTCCCCAATCTCTCTCTCTTTATTCCAATCTTCAGACATTTACGTCAAGAGCTTCAGCGAATC